CTTCCGGTTTTGTTCCGCTTCCGGTTTATGAAAATCTTTATTTTTAATAAGAAAACTGAAAAAAACGCGAATAAAAACACATAAAGACGAAAACAATGCAATAAAAAAAATTACTAAAAATAATAACGACCGACTGTACAGACAACAGACATTATGAAACAATATATTTATGGTATCAATAACCTATAAGAATAAATATTATTATATTATATTCTATATTACAGATCCAGTTGTTTCACTTGTTCCAGTCATGTGTATTTAATAATTACATTTTTATATAATAAATAATATATTAAATAGAGAATACAATAATAAGACCAATTGAGAATAAAGAAAGACAGTTTTATTTACACACAAAGTGCTTTACAAAACAACAATAAATAAAAAACGTAACAAAATAGATATAAAACATTTGGTTCAGCAGCAGAAAACAGCTAATCTGTCATCATCATCTTTTATAATTAATCACTATTTTTTATCTATGATCAGTGTGTGTGCTCATATATCACTTCAGTAATTAAATTAAACCTTCTAATTACCAGAACATTATTCACTATTTTACATTATTCTTAGTATAAAAACCTAAAACTATTACACACGTACTAACTGTTTGTTAGACTGCATCATATTCAACCAATTTGTAACTGAATGTTCTGCGTGTTTGTGTGTGAGGTTGTTAAATGTATTTGAATCTAACAGAAGCAAACAAACTTCCTCCGTTAGTTAAAACTTTTATCTATAAGCAATATTTAGATAGGAGCCTTTTGTATGCGTGTACTGCAAACAATTAAAATCTCTCCTTATTTATTGCCTATTCTGGGAATTTTCTGCCATTTTAGGAGAAAACTAAATATAAATATAGTGACACAACTAATTGGCTGTTTCTAGGTTGCTGCAATTTCCCTTTAATTTAACTTAATTATTTCCCAGATTTAATACCACAGTCCCAGAAATGTATGTAGAAAGGCAGGAAATAGGTTTTAGTTTCCTCCACTCCCCCCCGGTGAATCCAAATGTTTCGTGTCAGAGAAGTCGACAGACCGTTTGTGCAACAGTAAAGATTCTTTTTCCTCTTTAATACCAAATAAAATGTCCTCAGGTTACAGGAGTCCAAGATAAATATCAGGACATTTTCTGGGGCACGTTTGGCCTTTTCTTCTGGTTTATTATAAGAACGGAGCCTCAAGGAAGCTTTAATAAGAACTCTTCAGACCATAAAAACTTTATTTAATCAGAAAGTGGACGGATTAAATCAGTGAAGACATTAAAACTAAAATATGTTTGTATGTTGATTATGAAAGAATATTGTCACAATATCCACATTTATATAATTAAAGCTTTTATTTGTAACTGTCATTAAACTGTAGCTAACAGCGCCACCAGTGGTCGTTCAGTGAACTGCAGTCAGCGTCCTGTTGACTGTAAAATAACCCACACTGCAACGCCAAGACACAGCCAGCCGGACAACCCCAGTTAGCTTAGCTGGATGCCCCTCCCTCACATCACTCTCGGCTAGTAGAAAGCTATCGTTAGCTTTGTGCCGCTACATCATTTATTGTTGGTTAAAATCAACAGTTTGTCAGAATCAGTTAGCATTATTGATCACGTTAGATTTTCACTGACAGTCTGACCTTCTTCCTCACATAGAAACACATAAATCAGTGATTAAATTAAAGTGATTAATATATAAAAATTATTTGTAAAATACGTCAGAATCTTAAATATGGAAACTAATTGTGTTTAATATCATCCAGTTTTTAATCCATTCATAAAAACATGTTTTAATTATCCAACAGATGAAAAATGACGTCCCAGTTAGTCTCTTTAGACATTTCTGCTGTCACTGTTTCCGACTTTAATGCTTGTTTAATTATTATTCTTGTATTCCTAATTATCGCAGCATGTGTTAATCAACGTTTACAGGTATGATTAATGTTCACTGTCTCTGATAATAAAGACCAGGCGCCTCCACTGGCTCCACGCATGAATACAAACACTGTTTTCCTTTTTTTCTGTCTCCGTTCTGTTGACGGATGTTTGACACACTTCTGGTTCCTACGGGATTAAAGCTGCGTTGATTTATGGGCTCTATAACGATGTGAGCAACGACTGAAGTTGCTGTCATCAGTCAAGAGTTCGCTGCAGATTTGTTTTCATTATTCTGCTTTTCAGTCTTAATAAACGTCAGATTAGTTGATGATTGTTTTAGGGGGTTTAAATGCTTTAAATGCAGCGTGTGCCGATTGTTTAAATATGTGTGCGGACGCTGCGTAGCGCTCTATGATGAGTAATCGCTTACAAACAGTGAACAAAGCTCAAATAACAGCAAATAAGGAAATATAAAATGTATATCACATTCATTTGTAATTATTCCAGCAATGTCACAGCACTATGTTTCTATAACAGCGTATATCTATCAGCTGTGAGTGCTCAGGGTCACTTTATTAACCTGCATTTAAATATAATGTAAGTGATGTCCTCTGCTGTCATCTGGGTTCATATTGTTTCTATTTCCTACTAACAGCCACTTAAAGGTCCAGTGTGTCATATAATTCAGTGGCAAAGTAGTTTCAGTTGAAAATGAAAAATAATACAATACCCCGCCACCAAACAGGATAAACTCGGCTGAGCTATTTTCTACTAAAATGCCTGAACTAGTCCAGAAGCTGTTTGTGCTCTCGTTGCACAAAACCTCCTGTAAAAGATAAACATTCTGTTTTCAGCCAGAAAAGAAATCACTGAGGATCTCGTCAGAGGCTATAAATAATGAAATACCTCTAATGAAAAATCCTAGATTACAGTCGTGCCTGGATTGCGAGCTCTGGCTCGCGCTGTCCCGCTCGCCCGCGTTGAAATGAGCGTAAACGTCTGGCTGCCAACTCAATTAGTGAGATCAAACCTTTGGGGACGGAGCTAATTACTTGGCCAGAGTGCATTTTTGGCTACTGATGAAAGTTATCCATTTCTGTGATGAGTCTCCAAAACAAACCAAACTACAAGCATTAATAAGACACAGAGGAAGCTGTGTGTGTGTGTGTGTGTGTGTGTGTGTGTGTTCAAATATATTTTATTATACTCACTGATAAAATTTCAAAGTAATGTCCATTTTGTGACTTTTATATTTGGCTTTAATGAACCTGGACGTACGAGACAGAGTGATGTAATTCATGTAAGAAGGGAGAGTAAAGGAGCACACAGCGTTTCAGCCTCCTGATGGACAGAACGTTTAGAGGTGTAACACGAGGGAACGAGAGGAAGGAAGAGGTTAATGAGTTCGTCTGAGTGTCTGACAGGAGGAAGATGGTGTTACAGCACTTTTGACGCTCATGTTATTTCAGTTTTCTGACTCTGGGAAAAACTCGAGTGTCACAAACATCCTGAAATGACTCATTCGGTCCAATTACATTAGCGAAGTCTAGAAGATGAATGATCAAATTATTTTATCCAATAAAGTGTGCGAGGACTCTACTGAGCATGCTCTATGCAGTCAGTTAACACAAATTCTGCCCGATCTCCCAATTTTATCCAATCAGAGCAAAATGTTTAACCATTCGTCATAAAAAAACTCACGATATTATTCCATCTGCAACAACATGTCTTCAATTTTTCATTAATTATACAGAAAAAGTCATTGCATTGCAACATTGCAATTTTATAGAAAAACTGCTGTAAAACCAGCTATTTAAGGCCCCAACAATCCCCAGAAAGCCCATAGAATCCCTGAAGGACTGTTTATGGACCCGGATTTATTTTATTTTGTGGCATTGACACTATTGACCCTAATATTGATACTGAAAACAAGACTTTTTATCGGTAGTATCAATACTTTGTGGATCAATCCGTCCAACCAGTCAGTATGCTAATCCATTTTTGACTGACAAGAAGTCAGACATGGATCAGTTGGTCTATTTTCAAATTAAAATACCCCATACAGTACCACGTAATTATGACTTTTTATCTTATCATTTTGAAATTGTGTCTTTTGTCATGAACCTTTTTGTAGTTTTTGTCTAACTCTATTTGGCAGAATTGGGCTTCCATACCCTTCAGACCCTGTTTACGTGTGAATTTTCAAAATAAAATAGCCTGTGCATATCAAAAAAGTATAAAATAACAACAACAAACACAAAACACAAAGTACAGGTCCATTTACCATTTACCATTTACCATCCTGATGGCCACACATTGTGGACTCGAGGGTCCCTCAGCCGGTATCTTCCCCTCAGTAAGACCTAATGTGCACATTGAACAGAAACTACAGGAACCAATAAGTAGAAAGCTGATGTTGGAAATGATGAATGTGAGGAGAGAAAAAGGAAAACGGGCCAAAAAGCAAGAAAGCAAACGGAGGCGAGAGAGGTCTTTGGAGCTAAATTGGTATTTGATGATGATTAATGCCGCAGAGATTTCACTGCACAGATGCCAAAAAAAGTTGAGATACTCAAATAAAGTCTCTGATCTTCCAGTCGGAGCAACAACAATCTGACTTCTGGAAAGTTTTACAGTGAGAGAGTTAAAGGTCTCAGAGGCTCCTTTAATAAACTGAATCATAATTCCTATAAAACCACATTTTCTCAAGATTCCTGTGAACCTGACGAGCACTTAATTAACTTATTGTAATGATTCTGATGATTTATTCCAGTGAATTTATTCAGTTATTCTAATTCTGTGACCCCTTTGATAAACCCTCCTCAGAGAGTCTCTCAGTTAAGTCTATAATGAAGCAGCGAACATTCTCCTACAGAAGCCCAGTGAAATAAAACAATAAGAAGAAAACTGTCTTGATAATAAAAATATCCCCATGGGAAGTCATAAGTCTGTTTTTATCTCAAAAGTTTGACTTTTTATCTTAATTTTTATCTCATCATTTTATTTTTTAATCATAATTTAGACTTTTTATTTCATAATTTAATAAAATTATATTTCCTAATTATAATTTTTTAATCTCAATTTTATTTTTTAATCTCAATAATTTTATTTTTTATCTCATAGTTTTTTTTATCCC